GGCCCCTTAGATCAGCGGACATAAAGAGGCTAATTACCTTCGACCATCGGTGCCTTCGTAATTTAGCTCACATCTGGTGGGAACACCGAGTTAGCAACGAGCGTGTTCGACGCCTAGTTTACGGCACAGGAAAAGGAAATGAACCGCTCAGCACCGTTATTTCACGCACCAGGCTCCGATGGCTCGGCCACGTGTTACGCATGCCAGCCCACCGACTCCCGCGACGTGCGTTGTTTGCGCGCCGCGAGTGTGGATGGAAGGAGGGGTGACCAAGCGATGACTTGATCGAGAGGAATGAAGGCCCTCACTTTGAAGCTGGCCTCGGTTGGAGCGTCTCGGCTCTCTGGTTGGGGTCAAAAGACGATGAACACGTTTGGCTGGATACACTTGCTGAGATGGCTAGGAGCCGACCTCAGTGGCGTTCGTGCTGTGAGCTTGTTTGCCCCATCCCATTCCTCTTAGCCTCCCCCTCCAACCACGATCTCACGATTTAGCCTTATATAATTTTGCATAGTAATTTTTTTGACGCACAGTAGCCGGCTGGTAGCTTATCGGAACGATGCCCATCCGTTACCGATAGCTCAGCCGGCTTGCACCAGTTGAATTTTTTTTCTATGTATTGCGGCACAGTAGCCGAGGTGTTTCCCACCTCTAGCTAACGTGTATAATGATAATGATGACTAAATGATAGCTATTCCCATCTCACCGATCCTTGTCACCCACCAACGTTTTCGGTCAGTTCGAAAAATTCTTGTCAAACATCGTTTAGCGTTTTAAAGAAATGCTAAAAATCAGGGCCCACTGGAACCAATTTTTGTGTTTCAATCAAATTTATCAACGCCTCAGAGATCAATTCACAATTTCGATGTCTCAAGTTGGGAGCACAGCAGAGGTCAAAAGCATTTTTTATGGCGCACTTAAGGCGGTTCCAATCAGCGTTAGGCTCACCAACATCATTCATCACTGACAATTGGTGGGCCAGTTGGTCATGATATAGTTGGACTGCGCACTAAGTTCAAGTTACAAGTAAGAAGGTTAGAAAATAGGCGCTTCTTTGAAGCGGGAAAAGTAAGCGCCAGGCATGCCCAAACCAGAGCATGGTCAAAATCCAGGCACGTGCTCTAAATTGACCGAGTGTTGGACTGATGTGCGCCAACTATTGATGATGGCAGTATGATCAACTTGGTCCAGGTCATTGAGGAATTTGGTGGGTGCCAGGTGACTGGCTAGCCGAATTACCTCCTCGTGGTACCAGCTAGGTGTTTCGAGTGTAACCCGTTCCAGCAAATAGTTTGGGGGCAGTGTTCTAGGAGGTGGTGGGTTTTCGACTACGTCCTTCCTATAAAAGACACAAATGTCCGTTTATCAACACTGCAACGTGGCGGCCGTGACTAGCCACGAACTAAAGTCACTGCTACGTGAATATCCGGATAATCCTATCCAACTTACGAACATCAACCATTTATTCTCACATTGCCGACGCTATCAAACAGTCAAGGATGCAGCGGCACACTTACAAACACTAACTACACAGCTACACGCATACGCAATTATATAAGCGTACATACCCCTACACAAACATTCACTGTTACCGCAAACACGTTGTACTTTGTACGTGTTTGATCACGCTTTGTTATCTTAATATGATCATGCCTGTAAAGGCGTGCTTTGTTTTGTCAAGAGAAAAAGAAAAGAAAATCAGTGCCGCTTACATAAACATTGTGATCAGCACAAATCAATGTCAGTTCGTCGTGCATCGACTCAGAAACGGCCTTCCAGATGTTGTTCAGAGTCTGAAAAACGATTCACTTCGGCATTTATGTCACCAGCAACAATCAAGATGTCAGTATTTCTCGCCATGCGAAGAAAAGATGAGAGCTGTCGATAGAAATCGTCTTGGATACCCTCTGAATTATATTCCACAGGGGCATAAACTGAGGCGATGGTAAGCCGGAGGTTGACAAAAGCAACCTGGGCCTTAAGGAAGCGCAAAGAGACCTCATCTGTCAAACCGTTAGCGTTGATGCAGCTTCCGAGCTTGACGAATTTATTTGCCACTTCCATAAACTGACCTGGAAGTGTAAGTGTGGGAGTAGCTCCTAGCCAATCCCGTAAAAAGACCTTACACATCGAAGGAGTGAAGGTTATTCCACATTAGAAAACAAACATATCCAATGTAAACAACACCTTTTGGGCGATCTGTGAGGATTAGCAAATTACAGTAACGTTGTCTGCATCGTCCAAATCGCGAAGTCGATCCCCGGAAGCAGTTGTCGCCGATGGATTCGCAGTTCCCCAGGATGTCGTTTATAAAGAAAATGAACAGGAAAGGCAATGCTGAGCAGCCCTGTCTCACGCCACTGGTGATACTACAAGGGGTCCGAATTCGGCCGTACACTAGCAATCAGACAGGGGCTCGAGAATATGTGGCTTGAAGAATGTTAACATACTTTTCGTGCACTCCACTTCTCAGCAGACAACTCCGGAGAGCAGCTCGATCAAATGTGTCAAACGCGGCACGAATGTCTAAGAGGAAAACGACCGTTCGTTGACCGAACGTTTGACGACGCTTGCGTATTTGGCGGAGCGTAAAGGTGTGATGGATACAGATCCCGTCAGATCTGAAGCCGGCTTTCTTTGTGCGTACCAGGCTGAGCTTCTTTAAGAGCAGAACAGCAAGCAATTTGAATGTAACACAGATGAGACGGATCTCTATGGTTAGCGCAGTCTCTCCGGGCATCCTTTTGAAGACGGGCACGATATCCACTGATTTCGATCAGATGAGATTGCCTCAGTGATCCAAATCCTTTGGAGGAGTGCTTATCTCTGAACAACTGATGGACTTCCATCTTAGAAAAGAGCTGGGACAGGGGTTTTGTAGCGTATTTCGAGGTGAGATTTATGAGGAACAACCTCAGATGGTGGTGATGAAGCGACTACATACCAGGCAGCATTTTCGAATCCTGAGTTAATACTCACCGGTACTGCTGGACAGTTTAACTGCTGTTCGAAATGCTCGGCCCAACACACAAGTCGACGCTGTTGACAGTGGATTGGTTCACTATTGGTTTCGCACAAAACCTCGCTTACCGTCGGCCTTTTGCCGCCAGTGGATTGGATCCAGAGGAAATTCCCTGAGGTGACCGCTTGCTCCTTCTCATTGACCTGCTGCATCCACGAGAAATTACGATCCTTCCGAAGGAGCTGTTTGAGTACAATGTTGGTAGCCAACACCTGCGAAAATTGTTTGGCGGGCTTCGAGGAGCTGGAGAGAAATTGCAAAGATCCATTAATTGACAGAACTACTGGTGAAACCACAGAGCAGAATCGCAGACCTGTGCATGCGGCTGCGGATGTATGCCCAGTGTGTTTAACTTCTAAGTATGAGGCGCTCTTAAAGATTGAGGTCAATGGGTCCTGAAAGCCGCTGAGGAGGGTGGAGCGGGAAGCCTAGCCATGTCAATGCAGTTCCGGCGACGCTATTGGGAGCCAGCAAAAACGTAGGGAGATCTTGGCACACGAGTGAGTGATCCGAAGTGAAGTAGGTACTCCAGATTGACTTGTAATCCTGTATACAGCCTCACCAGCGACAAATGATGGCGATGTGGTCAATTCGTGTCCACGGCTGGCCATATGATTGGGGTCTCCGGGTGGCGCGTTTGCGCCTGTATCGCCGAAAGCTAGCACTTGTGAGGAAGAAGCCGTGACTGGCGAAAATCTGAAGTAGGCGATAACCGTTGTTCGTGCTGCGAATACCATGGCTATGTTGACCGCCGAGTTCACTTTCATAAACGTTAAGTCCGCCAAACTGCGTTTTCCGGAGGTCGGAGAGCTGACGGTAAAATTCACCTTTAACTGACTCCGGACTGCAGTCGGTGCGAGCGTAGGCTGCTGAAACGACAAAGCAAAGTCTGCCGGCGCCGCGGTCACAAGTCGGACCGCGCAGTCCATTGTTGACAAGAATCCAGTATAATAGTACGGCCTCAGCACTCATGCTCCACTCAATCCCAACGCCGGTAAAACAACCGGCTTCAGTCGTTGAGTCTCCAGAGGAGCGCAATGTGAAAAGGTCAGCGGAACTCGCAGACAGTGAGGCCAGTGTAGTGTCGTGCTACGGTCTGGTAATCGGGTCTCAGTGAAGCAAAAGGCATAAGTGATAGTAGTCTCTAGCGTGCGGGCAAGGGTTACCACTTATCCGATCTGTATCAGCGTCCAGACTGAATTTCGAACGGGGCGGTACAAAAGTTTTGTCAATACTAATTGGAGGCGCACGTCGGATTTGAATTACTAATCCGTGTGATGACAGCATTCGTTCAAAGCGGCATGGTGTCGTGGACTCGGGGAGTTGGAAGTATAAAAGTGTGGAAGAGTTGTACAAACGATAGATGCGATAAAATGCGGTTTAGCATGTACGCTCGCCAGCATCTCGGACAGGGGTATCCCTGCAAGATAGCAGAGGGTCGTTGAGACGTTGGACAGCATGGAGCTCTGCCCATTCCTCCAGTAGCACACGATTCTGATCCATGGAAAATAGTGGTGGCCTGAATCTAAAGTGTGATATGATGGGGTATCTGCCATTCGAAGCTTGAGAAGCGCTTCTTGCTGACACATGAAATCGATCGTTAAGTATGATAGAAAGAGTGGTTTGTGTGTACCACGATATGCGACAAGAAAGCGCTATTCGTACGATTACCATATGCATTAATTTCATTTAAGTTATTTGATATAGCACCAAGTTGAGCCACTGAGTACTCGTACAAGCTGCCTTAACATTCCAAGTGAGGATAGACATACGAGTGACAATTAGTAAATTTGATCTTGGCACTGAAAATGAAAAAAATTCTGGTTGGTGAAGTTCGGTTGACATTTTATTTAATCAGATCAACAACTGGTACTGAGTCCAGACTGAGTTCTAACGAAATCAAAACAGTTAGTCGACAGTTGCTGCGCTAAGGGAATGATCTTGATCAAATAGATATGTGTAATTAAAAAACACAAACCGTGGACTGCCTCCAATGGGTCTTGATTAGCACAAATCGCCAATTCCAGACGCTTCGACGCCAGGTTGTAACCAAGCCATCCCCATCCGGAGCCTTGAATACCAACAGAGAGAGCGGATAGCCTGGCCTTGAACTGCTCGAAAGAGCCAAATTCGGCATTGATCGCATTTGCCAAACGTCCACTCGGCACGCCTCCTCCGTTGGGGCTGAGGTTTTTCCAAAATATGCTGTGATTTATATGCCCACCTCCATTGAACCTTAGGGCACCCTGTAATGTACGAAAAAATGATGTGAAAAAGTTTAATGTTCATCGCCAAAAATGGTTGCAATTGGGTCGGATCTTTTAATTAGAACGGCTGTTTGGTGCCCGCGACCGACATCCATCGGGTAACGTTGGTATCAAAAAAGTATCAGCAGTAAGTCGTTACGCAGTACCGACGCTTCGCTGCTGCGTAACCACCAACAGTCACGCGTGGACTACAGATACTACGAGGGTCGCTTGGTCCCCTACACAGGCCCGAGTCCGTGCCTTTGGATTACAAGAGGCATGTGACCCTTTAGGCTACGGGCCAGCGGGTAACGTTGATGAGCTACTCTGATCCAGGGATATCGTTAAGTGTTCATTGAGATAGGTTCTAATGTTCGCTGATGATTGGGCCACTAGTTGTCGATAGCTGACAAGGTGACTACTAAATGTTTTCTGACTATAGTGGTTAGAATATACAAAACGGGATAACAAGGACATAATAAAAAATGCAAAACCGAACAGGGTATTGAGCCTATGTGATCAGAACGCTATCCATAAAAGACACGACAATAGATAAAGTACGGTAATGTAATGTAGAAAAATATGCGGAGAAAAACGCAAGAAAAACCAAATCCAAGGCAGAAGGAACTCCGAATTAAAAAGATGGTGTTTAATTAAAAGGCGAAAGGAAGAGAGAATGGCTGGCTAGCCGAACAACCTCCGTAGTGCCATCTGTGTAGTTCGGGTTTAACCCGTCCCAGCAAATAGTTCGGCGGCAGTGTTCCAGGACATGGGTGGTTTTCACCTGGAAAACGTTCTCCCCATAAAAAGCCACAAATGTCTGCTTAACAACACTGTGACGTGGCGGATGTGACTCGCCACTACACAAAGTCACTGTCCCACCTAACGCTGAAGAGCTTATCAAATCCACAGACGTCAAATATTTTTTCAGACACTGGGGACGCGATCGGGCTCATACAAAAGAACAGCAAAATAATAAAAAAATTGCGTCAGCTGTACGCCGTAGCGGCACTTCGCTGCCACGCGACCACCACTAGTCGCGCGCGGGCTGAGTATATAGTGAGGACGCCCACGCCTACGCAGATTCGTACAGCAACACACCTACCTACATACCTACATTTATGGATCCACATGTATGAAAATCCTGTTATACTATTGCATATATTTTGAGCAATTGTTGTACTATTACTATGATTATGCCTTTAATGCCGTGCCTCGCGTAGCCGAGAACAAAAAGTTATTTATTTAAAAGCATCATCGGTTTTGAGAAGCGAAAGACATACACGATATTGACCAATTAAGAAGTGATCAGCCGAAGACTTGATAGATACTGCATTCTTGAATACGTTTCTTTGGAGAAACAGTACATAGTGACTTGTGAACCACTGCTAGGAAACGCGTCGTGCACAAAACTGGTGACAGTGTTAAGGATACCATACATTGTGTGACCGCCTACGGCACACCGATCGACTGTTGTACCTCTTGTAAGCATGTTTTCGCATACATCACATAAACGGTGTCCATGATGAAGAATTGTGCGCACGCACCAAATCAATCATGCTCACATCCGCATGCCTCCCACTCTTGTTTCTACGGGTTTACCATATACCATTTCCCGATTTAGTTCAGCCTTACCGCAATCTCTTTAGTCCGCTACTCATCAGCTTTCGTCCGTAATGTAGAAAATTTAACCTAATACCCATCATAATTTAATCAAGTTCGCACTAGGTGATCAGCCTTGGACCTGATGTGAGCCGAGTCCAAATTTCAGGCCGTCTCGCATGAGAGACCTTACGTGCGTGTGCGAACGCGTGAGCGGTGCAAAAGTTTCGGCCTGAGCGGGACAACGTGACATCCAGCACGTCAAACGGTGGACACGACACGCGATTGGTGAGTTTAATTCCAAAACGGCAAGGTAATTTCATGCGTTTGACTTATAAGTGGAAACACCCATACCGTTCCGACAGTCCGTCACTGGTTTGCGGAGTTGTCAATTCTGTTTTCCCTCAGTTGGATTGCACGGGAGCCGCACGCAGCGGGCAAAGCGTAAAGAAAATCTTCCTCATAGTTCACCTACCAGGTTTGTCTTTAATTTGATTTACATGGTTTTTTAACCTTGAGATCACACTACGCGCGATGGGAAGAAGAGGAACGTACACCCGTCATCCGTCCGATGTAAAGGCTCTTGTCTTGAAGACATATGAAGAGAACAACGACTGGAAGGGTATTGCATCTCCGTTACAGGTAAATGTGAAGACAGATATAATCTGGATTAAAAAGTAGAATTGAATGAGCCGACAAGAGCTCGTGGCGTGTTGCGTCGTAGGTGCCTGTCAGTTTGTCACGTGGATTGCTTAGTGGAATGTGTGGAATTGGACTCAACGACTGGCTGACTAAATGTGCAATTTCCGGGTTGTTGGTTGTTCCCTGATGCGCAAAGCGTCCTAAAACCAGATGTGTGATATATGCTCATCGGGTTTCACGCTTACCTTCAAAAATTAGTCTATGTAAACGTAGACAATCTACACCGCGGAGGACCTGATCGATGCACTTCGGCGGTGGTGAAAATAAGGGGAAAGTTATGTCGTTGTCCTAGGCTTAAGGTACGTAGTTTCTGGCCCTAATTTGCGATTTTCGTTTGATCGGCTGCCTTAGCATTGGAGGAGCTGATTGCAGGGGGCATTTTTCGAGGGAACGGTAGAACGCTGTCTTCCGCACAAGTTTCAACCAAAAAGCAAAGTTTGATTGTGGAGTCAAATACGTACACCAAGCGACTAATGATCTGGCCGATCTCACATTCAAAGTGCCGTTAAATGCCAGAATAGGATGTGTTGACCATGCCCTAGACAGTTTGAATATTGTGTGCGGAACAGTTTTCTTCAACTTAGAAAAACAACTGACAAGAAAGCAACAACTGGACTGGATATCAGTGGAGTGCTTCAATGATCAGATGCCAACGAAACCTGAGAGGTACGTGATTAATTTGTCCCATGTTTCTCTAAATCGTTCACAATTTGAGGCGCTATCACTTGGGTTTAATTTCTCAGTGCCATCGAGTAAAGGTGATAGAACAGGATTTGAAGCTCAGTTTGAAAATGTACACAAGCAATTATCCAGTCTTACACCTGCCACGGATGATGTAAGCTGTTGGTTTAAGGCTAAAGCAGTGGATCTCGCCAACCAATTTTGTGTTACTGAAGCGGATAAATGTAGAATTTTAGCAAATCTTCACTGAGAGTTCTTAACGGAATTACGGCGAAATGAGTATGTGCTAATACTGGGAACGGATAAAGGAACAGTAGTACTTATAATGTATAGAGAGGACTATGTTCCAAAAGTTCATACAATTCTAGATGACACGATCCGCTTTATTTATGAGTGGAAGGATTTTGGTGAATATTTTTGTACGTCCCAATCAGCCGACAATTCAGATAAGTCAACTAGCTATCCGAAAAAGCACCAGACGGCCGTTTCGCTCTATTGGGGCACATCAGTGGTGCGCATCCTTCGGTCCCCTGTGGAGGATCGGACCCATGACTGCTAGTGGCTCTTGCCAACTAGCCCGAAGCTTATGCAACTGTGGCATGGAGGACGGTATCCGACCATCACGAATTGTTAGCTAAATGCCATATAGCCCGACCCATCCTCTACTGCTATGCAGGCACCTGCCATGCAGATGACAGCGGTTGGTCTTCCGGCGTCAGGACTTCCCGGTTACGGCAGCTATGAATCGACATAGCATTTTGTGGAATCTGTAAGGGCGAATTTGTATTATTTATGAGTGGAAGGATTTTGCTGAGTACTTTTGTTCGTCGCAATCAGCCGACAATCCAGATAAGTCAACTAGCTATCCGAAAAAGCACCAGACGGCCGTTTCGCCCTATTGGGGCTCATCAGTGGTGCGCATCCTTCGGTCCCCTGTGGAGGATCGAACCTATGACTGCTAGTGGCTCTTGCCAACTAGTCCGCAGCTTATGCGACTGCGGCATGGAGGACGGTATCCGACCATCACGAATTGTTAGCTAAATGAGATATAGCCCGACCCATCCTCCACTGCCATGCAGGCACCAGCCATGCAGATGATAGCGGTTGGCCTTTCGGCTTCAGGACTTCCCGGTTATCATCATCATCATCATCATCATACACGTTAGCTAGAGGTGGGGAACACCTCAGCTACTGTGCCGCAATACATAGAAAAAAGGAGGAAAAAAGCAACTGGTGCAAGCTGGCTGAGCTATCGGTAACGGATGGGCATCGTCCCGGTAAGCTACCATCGGGTAATATGCAGCAAAAAAAATTATTATGCAAAATTATATAAGGCTAAATAATGAGATCGTGGTTGGAGGGGAAGGCAAAGAGGGATGGGGTGGGACAAAGAAACTCACAGCACGAACGCCACTGAGGTCGGCTCCTAGCCGTATCAGCAAGTGTGTCCAACCAAACGTGTTCATCGTCTTTCGGACCCCAACCAGGGAGCCGAGACGCTCCAACCGAGGCCAGCTCAGAAGTGAGGGCCTTCATTCCTCTGGACCAAGTCATCGCTTGGCCACCCCTCCTCTTCTTCCATCCACACTCGCGGCGCGCAAGCAACACACGTCGCGGGAGTCGGTGGGCTGGCATGCGTAACACGTGGCCGAGCCATCGGAGCCTGGTGCGTAAAATAACGGAGCTAAGCGGTTCATTTCCTTTTCCTGTGCCATAAACAAGGCGTCGAACACGCTCGTTGCTCACGCGGTGTTCCCACCAGATGTGAGCTAAATTACGAAGGCACCGGTGGTCGAACGTAACTAGCCTCTTTATGTCCGCTGCTTTAAGCGGCTAGGTTTCACAATCGTACAGTAGGATCGGACGTACCCCTGCACTGTACACTCTACCCTTCAAGGCAAGAGTGATGTCGCGCCGGCGCCACAAGTGGCGAAGGTTAGCAAAAGCGCCCCGAGCTTTTGCTATACGGTTCGTGATCTCGTCTTCCATCCCACGGACGCTGATACAACTTCCCA